CCTAGAAGTCCATGGTATATTCAACACTCTTCTCCAGCACTAATTGCCTTAAATTCAGAGTTGTTCTTTCATATTCCCCTACTTATCATGCCTCCTGGTTTTATCTTAAACATATTAAGACCAAATATCTTAAAAAATAAAAAAATTCTCATAACAATAAAATCTTTCCTATGATTGAAACAGTTTTTGTATTAGTTTTTATATGAAAAGAAAGTATTTTGCTTGTTAAAAAGTTTTTGAGAAATGCTGATTGTTGATGTAAGAATCCTGCAAGTGTAATGGTTTACTAACCTACCTTTCTTTGCACTACTGACATGGAATTGATCCTGATATATAGCAATTCTGTAGGACAGTATAAAACTGTCTTGCAGGGGTTCCAAGACTGCAAATCTTATAGAACCATCTTTCTACCATGGAGAAGCTAAAACTCATCTTTTGGTTAGCAGCCTAATGCCTTAGCTTTTCCACTATCTCAGTTGTTACAAAGCTGTTTAAAAAATATCAAGACGGGCAGCTACTGCTGCCAGTTTAGGGCCTGTGTCAGGAAAAGGAAGTCTTACTCATAAACAGTGCCACCCAAAGGTAATAAAGGAGGTCAGAATTGCTTCCACTGTGGAAAGCTGGGCCACTTCAGTAGACAGTGTCACAGACAAGAGCCACAGATAGGCAAAGGAGTAGAGAGGAAGCTCCCAGTCACTTGTTTTAAGTGTGGATCTGAAGGACACATGGCCAAGGGCGGCCCACATCAGGTCCTCGTGGCTGACAGGACTGACAGGCCCCAGCTCCTAGCCGAAAACAAAGGAGGATGCTTCAATGATTTAGACCCTCCCAGAAGAGCTGTGGGTGAGCATTAACATTACTGGTAAGTATATTCATTTTCTCCTGGACACAGAGCCTACTAATTGGTCCTAAAAGCCTTCTGAGGTCCCAACTCTTCTCACTATTTCTTAGTTGCTGGAATTGATGGAAAAACTCATAAGCAGTTCCTTACTTCACCTCTGCCTTGCATGCAAACTTCTGAGCTGCAAAACAACCCAGGGGTAGATGGAATTTGCTCCAGGACTTAAGAACAATAAATGACATAGCTGAGCCTCTACATGTTGCGGTTCCTAACCTCTACACTATAATAGACAAAGTGCTAGTCAATAGGCCTTTTATTGTAAGAACCACCTTCCCTCTGTAACTTGATTTGTGCCACTACTAGAACCTTTACTCGGAATATTCTTGCTTGTTAATTTTTGACTCAT